ATGGTATCCAGAAGTTGCCCTGGCCGAGCCAATCTTCTGATAGGAGCACCATCGAAAACCTGCGGGCAATACTCGACCGGCAAGTCAAGAAACAACCAAAAAACCAACCTCGAAGAGCGATCTACTCCAAGTTTTGAAGCAAGAGTGGGAGAAAATCCCACAATCTAAAATTGACGAGATGATTCTCACGATGCCCCAAAGGATCAACGAACTCCACGATGCGAAAGGAAGATCTACTAGATATTAATTAAATTATAAATATATCAATTCATGTGAATATGACTGAAAATTTTCATTTTTTTCTTGAAAAGGTGGTGTCTATTTACTTGTGACCACGATGTGTATGTGTGTGTGAGTGTGTGTGTGTGTGAGGGGGTTATAGAGTAATCGGACTGATAACTGTACAGAATAATACAGGTTTTGGGAACTATAATTATCCCCTTCGGGAAGATAACCTAAATATTTTAAGAGGTTATGATTTTTCCGAAAAACATCTAAGTTAATTATAACTAAACAAATAAAAACTGATGTTTAAGCTTCAATAAATGAACTACATTTATGTTAGCCGAACACATTGTGATTAGCTGTGGTTATCTATGTGTACAATATAATAGTGAGTTGTTACAAACCGAGTTTAACATGTATCCTTCTTGAAATAGTTTATTAGTTTATGATAAAAATGCGGTTGTGAATTTAAATTAAATTCACGCTGCTGGAAAAGCACTTGACCGTGCGACAGGTAGGGGGAGCTGTATAAGTACAAACCGAAATATTTTATCCCTAAGATAAATGTCCTTTGATTGTTTGTAATTCTCGTTAGAAACTTGCCTTATATCACCAATAACAGCTCGTTCAGGTCAGCTGATCGGTTAGTGTTGTGGCCTTTTTTAGGACTCTAATTACATCAGCAACAAACGTGTACTACCTTTTTGATGTAGTTAAGCCAGGAATCATATAACAATACTATATATATTTCTCGACCAGATCCAACAGAAACGGTAAGTTAGAGTTAATGGAAAGTTGACCTGAAGAATCTCAATCGTGGACTGGTTTATGTTGTACGTTAACTGTAAATGTAGTATATGTACACGCAATCGGGCCCTGCAATCTGATTACCGAATTCCTTACTGATAACCACTAATTTATGTAATATTGGATACATATATTGGGTTTTCGCCACACAATACGAGAACAGTAGGTTGTCACGAATTTTAAAGAATAACTATCAATGTGAAATAATTTTAAATTATAACTGTTTAAGAGAAATTAGGCTAAATACCCATTTCTCAGAGAACATGGGGTTTCGATGCTTGGGATATTTAAAGTGTATTTCCTTGTTTAATTTTCTCTATACATATTTGGAAATAATGTTAGTTTTAAGATTAAGAAGATAACGTAAAATACTAACACTCACTTGCGAAGCGCGGGTCTGGGGATGGTCCGTACCACCCTGTTGCGTTCTGGCGAACATGGGTGCCGTAGTGTGAAAGTTCGGCACCGTTGCAGTACTGACTGGCGAAAGAGTTCGGATGGGCCAGTTGGGGTACCATGTATGGGTTGGTCGCAGGCACGTTCATGTTTCCTTCGTTGTGGAGATTGCGATATGAGATTGACGCTGTAGTAACTAGTGGTGTAGGAGATCCGCTCGCATCGACAGAGGCAACGACAGCGGCTCTTTTGTAACTTTCGTCGAGTGGATTGAGAATGTCAGTCACAGAAAACGGAGTGGAGTGTTTAGGGCTCAGTGACATGGCTTATACACAGATATCACTACGTGAAGTGTCTCTGTGTCAAAGCCTCATATGAAGCTCACAGAGAAGTGGGGTGGGGAGAACCAGTGTCTTTCCGTTCCCGGCATACCTTCGATGTTCAGGGTCTTCCTTGGACTTGTGCATTAGGAGCACGGATGAATGCCCATGGATTGAGTCTTCAGGGAAGCAACAACCAACGAAGAAGAAAAGGCAGCCCACTGTCGCTGCTTTCGTATTATTCGACCCATTGCTTGTGTGACTGAGTAGCAAAAACGTACATGTTTATACGCATGCGCTATTTCGTACCCAGTATACAAAATGTACATTAAAGGCATGTTTTCTTTTAAAAACAATACTTTGCACAAACTGTTTTCTCACAAATCTACTGTTTCTTCTTGACTTCAGAAACGTGGTACGAGGAATGTGTCTTTCTTCAAGAACAGATAACTATTTTTTAATTTGTTAGGGCCCCTTGTCACAAGGAAAGGCGGAGCTACAGATTCCTCCTCAAACTTTGACTGACATCTGAAACTCCGCCTTTATTTCATTTACCAGTGAAATACAGAAAATTATTAGTAATTATTGTTTGAAGTTGCTCGTTCCTCTTTTATTTGGGTTGATGTTTCATCTATGATCCTTTCAAATTTTAAATAGGTATGAATAAACATGGATAAAAAGTTTAAGAAACTCTATTTGTAACATATGTTTCTTGATTGAGAAACATCTAGTCGGTGGCTTTCAGATAACAGATAGGCTTCAGAACTATTATAACATCACTTTAGAAAAATGTATTTGTTATAAGAGCAGAAAAGTTCTCAAAGCTTATATTATCATTTTTTGTCTGTTTATTTATGATTCAGAAAACCAAGTATCATTTTATAGGTTTACAGCGTTAAGTCAAAAGCAAAATATTCATTTGGCTGGATATCCGTTTATACTCGGATCAGCAGAATGTCAGAGTTTGCCTTATCAGCACTTGCATATTTTTAATATCAAATATATGAACACGGACGTATCCTGTATGATATATATATATATATGAAAATCAATCTTAGAATGACTAAAAAGTGTCATATCTATTATTTCGGTTAAGAAAAAATATCATTGTGCTTCTACTATCATAATACATGGAATTCTGCTTTATAATTCGACAAATAAAAGTCTTACAAGCATGCACAGAAACAATTGCCATTAAATTTACATGTGACGTTGAAAATAATAATAATTTACCTTTTTTAGACATGCTCATTAACCGTAATGCTAATGGATTTTCCACATCAATTTACCGAAAAAAGACGTCCACTGGTCTCCTTACACACTTTAATAGCTTTATCCCGTTTACGTATAAACGAAACCTTGTTACATGCTTACTAAACAGAGCTTACAACCTTTGCTCCACATATCTTAATCTACACTCTGAAATTTCGTTCTTACATGACATCCTGAAACGTAACTGCTATCCGCAACACTTATTAGAAAACATTACCAACACCTTCCTAACAAAGAAACTCACAAATCCAATTAAGATACCAACTGTACCTAAACTTACTATATACTCGTGTCTTCCCTATACTGGTAAACAAAGCTTAAATTTAAAAAATCAACTTAAACGCATACTTGGTCGTTACTACCCTCAAGTGGATCTAAGATTAGTTTTTAAATCCACATCACGCATAAAAAATTTCTTCCCTAATAAAGATCTCCTCCCCATTCCTTATTGTTCTTGGCTTGTCTATCTTTACACGTGTGGAGACTGTAAGGCCTCCTATATTGGCAAAACCAAACGTCATTTAAAAGTCAGAGCCCATGAACATATGGGAATTTCCATTAAAAATGACAAAAAAAAATTGAATAAGCCCTGTGTTTCCTCTATATGCCAACACAGTGAAGAAACAGGACATCAACCTATACTATCAAATTTCT